TTATAGTATGATATGAATACTTCAATTTTGTTTTGGTTGTATGACTGAAAATAATTCGGATTAAGAATTATACATGATTGAAGTAAGCTAAATGGTCATGAAAATCTGAAATTTTAGAATTTATAAAAATTAATTTTTAGATTTTTTAAAAATTATTCTTGACTTATATTTGACCTATTTTGCTAGAAACTTCAGAAAATTAAGCAATTTAAATTTTTCGTGAATTTTTGTATAGTAAATATTTATTTCACAAATTATTTTTGCATTGGCATATTTTGGAAAATTTATTAAAAATCTTCAAAAATTAAGTTTTGATTTGTATTTGAAGTATTTCCATCCAATCTTATATTGTTACTGATTTTGTACTATAATCTATGAGTTTCTAAGTTTTGAATGTTTTATGTATTTATAAATTATTAAAGGAATTAAAATTGATTTTGGTTAGCGAAAGAGGTGCTGCACCCTAAAATGCTTTAGAATGACCAGGAGAGAGTCATGGTTGGTTTTGATAAGTTAGCAATGTTGGTTTCTAATTTCAAGTATTTTGAATTAATAGGGTTTGAGAGGATTCTAAATTTTTATCTTTTGGTTTTGGTTTTAACGAATTTGGTAAGTGATTGATATCCTTTTGGTGTTTTCACATTTTAAAAGTTAGCCTCAATATGAAATTGAATTACATATATTATGTATAATATGTTTTGTCCTATGATTTGCAAAAATTGGGTTGAGCATGCAATATATATATATATATATATGATTTTCGTATGTTGGATTTTGGAATATGAAATTTTGTAAAATATGATTTTTGATTTTGAAATATGAATAAGATTTTTGTCTAACATCTTTGTGATTACATATATAAATACTTAGTTTGAAATGAGTATACTTTTGATGCGCACAATATGTGTTTTGTGAAAGTGAATATTACTATTTTGTGAAATTGAGTAATCGAAAAAACAATTTTGTTTTGTCTCCTAGTATGGCTATGATATGATCCTGCTAATGAGGCTTAAACGCTAGCCATGTTGACATATATTATGTGATTAAATATTGATCATCCAACCGCACCACCAGTTTCAGAATAGTGATATTTTTTATATTTGGTCAGAGCAACTAATGGTTACTTCTGATATACTTATGACCTATGTCACTGGGGTTAATTGTGGTTTTTATGACCCATACCACTGGGGTTAATTGTAATTTTTTTTTATAATTATGGCCTATGCCATAGGGGTTAAGTATGGCCATAGTATGTTACAAGAGACCAATAAAAATATGAAATCAGTGTGAAATTATGTTTTGCTTTGTTATTTGAAAGTTTCCAAATTCTGTTAGCGATGTAATCTAAAATAAAATTATGTTTGCTTTTGAAAGTGAAATTTTGAAATATATGTTTTGAATGAGATTACCCAAATAAAAAAAAATTGTTTGATATCTATTTATGTATTAGTAATTTTGGCCTAAATGTTTTGAGATGTCTAACCCGGCTGAGGGGATGTCAGTTACTTGCTGAGTGGTAGTACTCATTCCTATTATCCTTATCATTTTTACAGATTTCAATACGTATTCATGTGTGGGGATTAGACATATTTGATGAGAGCTTTGGTTAGCAAGGTTAGTACATGTTTTTTGACATTTATAAATTTTGATGTAAATATTCAGATTTAGTTTGTAAAGAGATGATAGCTAGATGAGAAATTTGTACTTTTTAGATGATTATATATATGTTGTATTATTTAGATATTTGAGGTTTTGTAAAGTGAAAAAAAAAATTTAAAAGATTTTGGAGTTATTACATTTAATTTAGTAAGATGTTGTTGCCGTACATGCTTATGAGATTCATCCCATCAGTATGTGGCATCTGTTATGTTCCAAAACCTCGTGCTTGGGGCGTGACAATCTTAATCTTTAAAAGTATATAAAAAATTATTATCTTTAAAAATTAAAAGTAATTGATTTAGTGTTGATTGGAGGTTTTGAAGCCTCCTTAACCTCTGAGACAAAGACTTCATTAGCTGCAAGAGAAGTCTTAGTCTCTATGCAATAAAAAGTTTTTGTTCCAACATAAAGATTGAAAAGGCACGTGATAGTTTAAAGTCTTGTGATCTTGCTGAACACCTCTCCTTCAAAAAGTCATATTATGAGTATATATCTTTTACTTTGTTGTTGAAGAAAATGGAGTTCAACCGAAAGAATCCTCACTCCTTCATAATTCTTGGAGCTATGTAATTTGATAGATTGACAACTTTAAATTTTGATCTAAAATTTCCTTTTTTTTTTTGCATAGAAAAATGGAATTTCTTAATAACTAATTAGAATACAAAACAAACGAAAGGCAAAAACATTAATGAGATTTTTTTTAATGGGATTCTATTGACAAGTAAATTACAATTATAATAAACTAATCCTTTGCATTTATAACTTAGACTATTACATTTCACTCTAATAGTATAAAAACCAAAATAAAAAACTTAATAATATGAGATTTAGTTCGTGCAAAAAAGCACTAAGTGAATACTAATAAATAATAATATTGATATATAATTTCACTACTAACAAATTAAAGAAGTTTGCCCCACTTAATCTTTTCATGAAAGTTGTAGCTCTGTCTCTTAACTTTCCAATGATCTAAGAATCGCATCCTTTGTAGTTCTATAGCCTGAGTTATGGCCAAAACACTAAAGCATTTACAAACAGATATTTGAGTCTTTCAACACCTAACTTTTCAAAATTAAGCCCAATTCTTTTAGTTCCTATGAAAAATATAAAAACTAATAAATAATAATCAAATTAAAAGAAATAACATAAAATTAAAATAACTCACTTAAAAATAAACTAATTCTAAAAACAATTAAAAATAAGTAAATTATAATTGAAAATTGAGGACTTAGCTAATATTTAATAACAAAATTAGACTAAAATAATTCTATAAAATAGAATTATCAACTTATTCTGAAAATGTGATTTTATGGGCTATGGACCCTTCCCTTGTTCCATAAAATATGATCCACATAGCAGAGCAAATTGAGCCATATAAAAGCAACTATAGAAGTTTGTTGTTTGTGCAGATTCCAAGAGAGGCAAATCACTTAGTAGATGAAATTGAATAAAAGATGCATGAAAGTGTGTTAGGAGTTATCCACGCTAAACCCTGCCATTGAAGAACAAGGTACCATACCTTCCAACTCAATTGGCATGTAATGAGAATGTGAGAGCCAATTTCCTCTTCCAAATCACACCATACACAACGCATTTGATCCCTATGAAAATGTGTTGAAGAAAAAAAATTATCAGCCAATTACGTGCTGCCATGTGGATTTAATAATATTTTAACCATATAATTAATTATAAAATAATTAATTTATTGGTTAGATTATTTTAAAGACATATAGTTCAACCAATTCACCTATTGGTATATATTTATCTCTCAAAATAAATTAGAGATAATATTCATATTTTGACCAATCAAATATTAACTATTGGTCATCCAATTTATCTCTAAATAAATCTAACTTATTTAGAGATAATATTTATATTTTGACCGATCAAATATTAGCTATTGGTCATTCAATTTATCTCTAAATAAATCTAAATTAT